TAATATTATGTTATAAATTACAATTCAAGAGAATATATATATTTCAAGAAAAAAAGTTTAAAATAAAATTAATTCTGAAATATATAAATCGATATATAAATTAACTATTCATAGTTATTTTGTCAATATTTTTATATTTTCAGGAGTGGTGAAGTTTACAATCAGAGATGCTATCAGTGTGAAGGATATCAAATTCACTAGAATTTTTCTTCTCATATACTATACAATAAATACAGTAAATTAACTTTTTCTAAATATGATACTTGTAATATTTATATTAGAAAATATCGTAAAATAGAATAGTACTATTAGAAAAATCTGGTTGACTTAACTTCAATGCAAGTACCAGTAGGTAATATAGAGGTAAGAAAAAATGATATAACTTGTCACTAGTACTACTAAAAAAAAACTGGTGACAGAAATTAGTAATGTAAATGATAGACTTTTTAAGAATTCTAAGCTGAAAAAAATATTTTTTAGTGAATATTATGATATTATTAATGTTACTAAAAAAATTGAACTTCTTAACTTTTTTTATTTTTTTTATATCATATATCAAATATATATCAAACATATTTATAGGAAAAGTTTGATTTTTTTCTTAAATTTTACTACTTTTTTACTAGTGATACTAGTAATACTAATTAAAAAAGAATAAAAAATCTAATAATCTCAAGAAAGTTAATGAACTTATCACTAATTTGTCACCAGTTAATATTCAGACAAGTAATAGCTGGTAATAATAAAATTCAGCATATATATCCTCTAACTATATAACAGAAAGATTATATCTCACTCTTAGTGACGCTCTTAGTAATAAAAAATTAAAATTGATAAAAATATTTTCAGTTATTTTGAATTTTCAGAAAGTATGTTATCAATAATAATAGGTTTTTGTGAATTTTTTATATTCCTAGTGTTTTTGGTAATTAAATGGCTGATTATAATTATGCATATTATATATCTTATTCTTTAACTAACTGATTACTAAATCAGACCCTTAAAAATTATTCAAAATTACTCAAAAGTAATAAGAAAATACCTAAAATTGATGAAAAATTAAATTACATGATTAACGTAATAAGATGCAATAAAATTTCATTTAATTTTAACCAGCACTATTTTATAATTCTAGTCAAAATTTTGGTATAATATTTTAGCATTCAAGTTGGTCTAAAACTAGCAAACTAATAGAAATGCTCTGGTTCTCTGCCAATTTAAGAAGAGTTCTAGATACTGCTAGATCACTATTATAATGTCAGCTTAAACCAAATCACATACCTTAAAGATTAGCCTAAATTACATCATAGTATTAGCTAAATTTAAACACAGATTTACCACACCACCTGATATGATTTTTTATCACAATTTAGCATTTTAACAGACAATCAAACAGACGTAAAATATAAGCATCTCAATATAGAATTCAGTATCTAACTAAGTATAGAAAGCTAGCACTTTCAACTTAAAATCAAATATCTAAATAGTTACAAATGATTAACAACTTAAATATAGAAATTGGTATGCAAAATACTCAGAAATAAGAAGAAAAACATGGTATTTAGATTATATAGTAATAGTTAAATATAGTGAATAGTAATTAGATTATATAGTAATATTTAAATATAATAAATGGTAATTAGATTATATAGTGATGGAAATGATGAATAACAGAAAAGGTTAAAAGTGATAGCTAGAGTATAAAATAGATATCCAATATATAAAAATATAAAGATTATATGGTAGTATCTAGATTATATTATTTAAATTATATAGTAGTATTTAGATTATATTATTAGATTATACAGTTGACTCATTTTATAGCAAATTTTGATATAACAAAATATGTGATATAGCAAATTTTTTGCATGATACCAATTTTAGCATATATAAAAAGCTTATTATACTGAATTTTACTAATTAAATGCTATATAACATTTAATTAGTAAAATTCAGTATAACAAGCTATTTATATATGCTAAAATTGGTATCATACAAAAAATCCGTTATATTATATATTTTGTTATATCAAAATTCACTATAAAATAAGCTAACTGTATATGATAATACTATAATATAGAGTAAATAGAATACTACTATATAATATAATTATATTATATAATGGTATTCTACTATATTATTAAAATATAAAAATTTGAAAATTTACTATATTTTTTATAAAATGCTATTTATTCTATAAATATTAATTTAAAATTAATAAAACTTTAGATTTATATAATAATAAACTTGATAAATAATATTATTTAAAATATTAAAGATAATTTACTTGATAAAATAATTAAATTATATACTTAAGCTATAAATGAAAAATAAAATATAAGTCAGTATTATTAGAAAGAATGTTAATTACTTCATAAATTCTAATTTAAACTTAATAAAAATTTAAAATTAAATAATTTTAAATTTGTTGAATAATATTATTTAAATTGTTAAAAGTAATTTAAAATGATTAAAGTTTTAAAATTATATTCTAAAAATATTAAATAAAAAAAATAAATTTGTAAATTAGTAATATTATAAAAAATGTTATTTTACTTTATAAATTAGATTTAATTTATAATTAATAAATCTTAAAAATATATTAATACAAAAAATTTTAAATAAGTTTATTTATATTACTAAAAATAGTTTACTTTGACTAAAGAATTTAAATTATACTTTAATTTATTAAATAAATAATAATTTATATTATAAAAATATAATTTACTTTAAAAATTAATTTTGAATCTACTTATTAACTTTACTTAATTATTAAAAATATTTAAAATAATTAATTATATTATAAAGAAAAATAAAATAAATTTGTAATTTATTATTATTATGTAAAATGTTATTTACTTTATAAATATTAAACCAATATTAATATTTAAATAGATTAAATTTACTATATATCTTTTTAAATTACAAAAATAATTTATCTTAATTAAATCTTCAAATTATACTTAACATTTATTAAATAAAAAGAAAAAATTTAAAGTTAGCATTATTATATAAATTATTATTTACTTTACAAATATTAATTTAATATTAATAAAATTTAGATTTAAGTAGTTTTGAATTCAATAAATAACTTTACTTAGAATACAAAAAAAGATCTTTATAATTATTATAAAAAGAGATTTTTTATGATCTTTTTATCAGAATATTTTATAAAATATTTAATAAAAATTTTTATTATAATATTATTATAATAAATAAAATTTTAGCTTTTTTTTTTTATTTTAAAAAATATAAATTAGATTTCATTTTAAAAATTAAAAGTATTATATTATCTTTAATAATTATTTCGGATTAATAATATTTAGAATTAATAAAAGTAAATAAATAAATTAATAAGATTTTAAAAAAAATATCTTTGATATTTTATTTAATTCTTTTATAATTTTTAATTAATTTTATTAAATAGGATTAAATAAAAATTCATAATATTATAAATATTATAATAATTCTAAATAATAATATTATTTAATAATTTATCTTATAATTTTATAAACTTTATAATAATGATAAATGATATATGTTTAATTAAATATATTAAAATATATTATTTTTTAATATATAAATAATAATAATATAAAAATTTAATGATAATAATCTAATTTGTAAAGTTGTAAATATTATAAATATAATAGTAATAAAAAAATTGAATATAATAGGTTTTTTTTTTTTAAAAAAAAGAAAAAAAAGATCAAAAAAAAATAATAATAATAAATTTCTTATTATATAACAATTTGAACTGTATAGTAGTATTACTTAAAACCTTTCTAATTTAACCAATGAATTTAGTTTAATTTTTTTTTTTTATAGTTATTATTATAAAAGAAAACCAAGTAATACCCTCTTTTAATAAGAAAAAGGGTAAAATTTTACATTAAAAGATATATTTTTAATTTTTATATGAAATATTGGAAAAAATCATAAAAATAATTATAGGAAGGACGTTGATATACTGTATTTTTTTTTGTTAAGCTTTGTCCCTTATCTCGTTTGTATCTGTTATTTAAAGTATTCGATAAAAGGCAAGAACGTTGAATGATTGAACCATGAAAATAATATTTATTAATATGAATAAATGTAAAGAGTTAATTTTCGAAAGTGGAATTTATCCAACTAACAATGCAGTTCCATCCTCCAATTCGATATATGCACCTTGTTTGTGACCGATTTTATCAGCTATTACATTAGTATCATCAGCTTCCTTATCCAAAGGATATCTTATTTCAAGTGGAGTTGTATCTTCAGGTGGTAAGATTGGCAAAGAACTATCCGGAGCTAGACAAATTTGACATTGTTCGTTCCCGACTTCTTTCCAAGACCTGTTAAATAATAGTACTTCAGTAACATTTAGGAAATAAAACAAAGTTGTTTTTGCTCCGAATCACACTACCAATTTTTCGAATTACTTGATGGAGGTTCTAGTTCGATTTTTGTTTCCCATTGATTATCGGGATCCATTTCGACAGTATTTTTGGATTCTGTAGATAATTTTTTTGTTTCAGATGTCATTTTCGTTTGATAGAAGAGAATTAATTGGTTTTATTTTAGTTTGTTTAATTTATAATCTACAATTTTCACACGATATGAGCAAAGTATGACGATCGACTAATAAAAACCTGCATTTTTTTTTCAAAGAATGAATGATATATGTTGTGCGCAGTAAGTTACTAATCATGTGACTGATAATAAAAGTTAAAGCCTCCGATGTTTAATAGTTATTATTATCCATATATTCTTTTGCTACTGCTTATGTATTTTTTTTTTTTTTCGAGTTTTAATATCTTGATAATCGTAATATCATTCGTTACACACACGCGTATTCAGATAACGTAATTTGTTATTTATGAGCAGAATCATTTTTATTATTATGCCATATTTGGAATAATCTTTTGTAGGTCAAAAATCAATATAATGTAAAGTTAAATCAAATATTAAAAACTAATAATTTTCTTTTTAAAGGAAAAGTCAAGAGGAATTAAATTATGTTACGGGGAGCCGTGACGACACACATAATCATAGTATTCGTGCAAAGAAAGAAGAAATTGAATTATGTATTCAAAAGAAGTTTAAAAAGTCCTTCATTCTTATCAAATGAAGGGTTGAGACAAATTCAAAATGCGGCTGAATCATTTGAAATTTCAGTTGTTAATGCGACATATAATGAAATTGTCAGGAATTGGGTGGTTTAATATATATATTTTTAAAAAAAGAAGAGAATCTTAATTAAAAAAATTTTCTCTCTTTTTGTAAAATATTTAGGCATATTTTCAAGGTGACCAAACAAGTAGAGCGCGACATGATAGTTCTCCTTCTAAAACTGAGATTCGTGAAGATAGATTCTAAAACATTTTGATCTTTTTATTGTTTATATCAAATTATACGTATCATTACATTCTAACTAAAAGATAACACCATCTCGGTAACGCAGTACAATTTGGTGAAACTTGTCAAAATAGTAAAATGAATTAATTATGTTATGAGGCATAAATTAACATAGTAAATAGTATCATATAAATAATATATTCACTAATATAAAGTTAATCTTTCCCAAAAAAAAAAAAAAAAAATAATAAATAAAAAATAATATAAGCAAACTAAAAAGCACATAAATTGCAGCAGTGCAGTAACAAGTTTTCCTTTAACGTTTAGATCAATGTGTGAGAATCTAGAAAACTAAATAATAACGCGAAAAAGAGGTTGTGGTTTGTACGACAAGCTGAAAATATAAACTTTTAATTAATAATTCAACTAAAGTAAGTTTTATCTGACACATGCATCGATCACGAAAAAGTTTAATTTTGTAAAAGGTTAATGTAAAGATACATAACTAGATTTATTTAATTAATTTTATCTGAATAAAAAAAATGAATTTGGAAGAATCAAGTTCACTTTCCCGAATTTATTTTTTTTTTTCGCGTATAAAACAGTAAAATATAAACATTAAAATCTACCGATTTTCAATTCCTGTATAAAATTGTGTATTATTAAAAGATAAGGAGCGTACACTAAAAGATTGCATCATACTTGCAGATAACAATGAAATTGAAGCTGACATAAAAAAAAAAAAAATTTAATATAAATTCTCATTATTATAACTCAGCTGCATGCTGTCACATGACACCATAGATTTGGTTTATTATATAGTATGAAAGATGTTTAATCACAGTAATTGATGGATAGAATTTAACGTAATTCGTCAAAGATAAGAAAATTTTACGTCAAATCAAAATCATGAATTCAGAGAATGTAATATGGACAAATTCGGGATCCTTGATAAGAAAATTTTCTTTGTTCATCCCAATTTTTGTAACGAAATATCGTGTAACACACGGATAATTTTAGCCATCTTATAGATTGATAAGATTTTGAGATTGTTGTCAAGATAGGTGCTATTCACATGTTTTCATAAAATATAAAACTGTAAGATACTGCTTTGTCTTTAAATCATTTGTTATAGTAAAACCTTCAATAACATTTTTTTAATAAATCCATCAGCGATTGTTGATTTTATGAGTTTTTCTCATATCAGCATTATTTTAATCAATTTTTTCTTATCATTCCGAAAAAAAAAATTTTTTATTGAAAAGGAGTGAATTTCCATAAAAAGGACTTTTATAGGAATGAATTGGATTACCTCTTCAAACAAATCTTATGTAACTTATTTTCAGTCATTTATAACAACATCAAAAAGTTTCACAATTTCTGTTACACGATCTTTTTTTTGCTCAGGATTTTTATCGGAATTTCCCCGTTATTCGATAAAAATTCCGATTGGCGGTCGTACTATGACTTTGCAAAAAAAAAAAAAAATTCATTTATATTGAAATGAAATTCATAGTAATTCATAGTCTTCATAAGAGTAATCCCATCGATAATCAAATCTTTCTTGCACACTTATCTCTTCTGGTTACATTAAAAAAATGATGAGAATCCTAAATTAAAAGTGTTAAGAACCAATTATGGTTTAGTTGATTATGTAATGCTCATGCTATATCAATTTTAGCTAAAGATAAGAAATTGTTTGTTTATGTTTCACCGCTAAACATACATACTTTTAAAAGAGAGTTCATGTTGTGATTATTTTCATCATTATTTTTTCCCACTTGTGTTTGTATCAGTGTACATATACAATGTATAAAAAAACGTAAACTACTTTCTTCCATAATTCTCGAACTTTATTTAGTAGCATGCTAAAAAATACGCCATAAGTACATAGTATTAGTATTAATTCGATGATTTTCTGTGAAATCCGATGGTTACAATCAAATAATCGATTTGTGTGAAAAAGATTTTGATTTTTCATTTATTTAGATTTCGTGAAGGAATCAATTCTTATAAATTCACGGCAATAATCAACCAGAATTTTTTTTTTTTCATCAGTTACCCGTTCAAAAAAAAAGACTTAGGAAACTGATAAATTTATAACGAATTTAAATTTTTAACGAACTTTTAACGACAATTATTATTATTATTATTTTCTTTGAGAAAATAAAATATCTTTTTATGAAAACAATAACTTAAATGTTATAATTTCTTTTTTCTTTTGTAAATATTAATATTGAAAAAAATAAAAGATCAATCCTTTTTTTTTTTGATTTATAATATAACTTTACGAAATGGCTATTCTCGATCAGGGAGTTGGTTGGGGAATAAGTAATTATAATAACTTATATTCATCAGAAATCCCAATTAAATTCCTTAATTGATCATCTTATTTCATTATGTAGTTTTGGGATTTGGTGCATTCTTTGCTGTTTTAATGACACTCTTAACAATGGCCCAAAAACGTTATCTCCAAGAATACCAAACATCCGAAATGTTTATGACGGCTCATCGTTCCGTAAAAACCGGTCTTGTGGCATCTGCTGTGGTCTCTTCTTGGACTTGGGCTGCTACGCTTTTACAATCCTCTTCTGTTGCATATAAATATGGCGTTTCTGGGTAAGTGAATAACTTTTTTTTGTGTTTATTTTTAATCACGTGCTCCAATTTCCTGATTGTTATTTTCAATTAGACCTTTTTGGTATGCTTCTGGTGCTACCATTCAGGTATTCATTATTCTCATTATTCAACTTTTTCGTATTAATTAAATATTATAACAGATATATTTTTTTTTTGATTATTGAATATAGGTATTGCTTTTCGCTATTCTTGCTATCGAACTTAAAAGAAAAGCACCAAATGCACATACCTTCCTTGAAATTATTTATGTCCGTTATGGAAAAGGAACCCATATTGTCTTTCTATTCTTCGGTTTGGCCACTAACGGTAAATAAACATTTTTCAAAAATATTTATGTTCTTATGAAGGAAAAGAATGTGTTTAAAAGTAAATAAAAAATTCTTTATAATTTAGTGATTGTAACTGCCATGTTGTTACTCGGTGGCTCAGCTGTAGTAAATGCACTCACCGGTGTCAATATTATTGCATCTTGTTTTTTACTTCCACTTGGTGTATTGATTTATACATTATTCGGTGGTCTAAAAGCAACGTTTTTGACGGATTACGTACATACTAGTGTTATTTATATTATTATACTTTCCTTCTTATTCACTGTTTACGGCTCATCGGAAACTATCGGATCCCCACAAAAAATGTATGATTTGTTGGTCGATGTCTCTAATAGACCTTGCGATAAAGAGAAATTTGAAATTGATTATCCGAATATTGCGAAGTATCCAACATATGGGATCTGTTCTGTAACTGAAAATGAACAGGGATCATTTGTAACGATGGCATCCTTACAAGGTTTAATCTTCGGTATCATCAATATTGTTGGTAATTTCGGAACCGTATTTGTGGATAATGCTTATTGGCAACGTGCTATCGCTGCTCGACCTTCTTCCACTGTAAAGGCTTATTTGATTGGAGGTTTATCATGGTTTTCAATTCCATTCACCTTGGCTACTACTATGGGTATCGCCGGTGTTGCTCTTGTCGGTGCTGGTAAATTAGCCCCTCTTACCGACGACGAAGTTTCTGCTGGTTTAGTACTTCCATACGCTGCTACTGCTCTTTTGGGCAAATCTGGTGCTTTCGCTGTTCTGATATTAGTTTTCATGGCTGTCACGTATGTATTAATATTAGATTTCAAAATTTTTCTTATTTTTGTTTACAAATATTAACAAATTTTATAGATCTGCCGCTTCAGCCGAACTTATTGCCGTGTCATCAATATACACTTACGATATCTATCGTGCATATATTCACTCTGGTGTAAGTTTTTTTTTTTTTTTTTTTTTTCGTAATATTTCTCAATTACTTATAATATTCGTTTTTTTCGTAAAAAACGATAGGCTCTTGGAAGACAAGTTATTCGACAATCACATATTTCTGTTTTTTGCTTTGGTATACTTATGGGCGGACTAGCTACTATACTTAATTACATCAAGATCGATTTAGGATATATGTATTTGCTTATGGGAATTATTTCTTCCCCCGCCGTTATTCCTGTTGCGTACACGATTACATGGTCAAAACAAACCGCCCCAGCCGCTATTTCTGCCGCTTTAATAGGTGTTGTTTGCGGTATTACGGCATGGCTTGTTACAGCTAAATCTCTATATCAAGAAATTACAATTAAATCAACCGGTGAAAATTACCCCATGTTGGCTGGAAATCTGTAAGTTATCTGTTTTCTTCATATACGATAATATATATACACACAGAGGCATCTACTTATATCCTATTCTCTTTTATGTAGTGTATCTTTAATAACATCAGGAATAATAGCAACGGTCGTATCATTGTTTAAACCAGATAATTTTGATTTCGAAGTAACCAGAACTAAGTTGGAAATTTTAACGGATGATGAAGTAAATGTTAATGCTATCCATGAGGATCCAATGGAAAAAGATCCTGTTAGATTAAGGGCGGCCTTCAAATTTGCTGTTACGAGTTCTGTTGTATTAACGATCATACTGGTTTTAATATGGCCGTTACCAATGTATTTCTCCAATTATGTTTTCACGAAACCATTCTTTACATTTTGGGTGGCAATCTCAATGATTTGGGCTATATGCGCTACCATTTGTGCCACGATTTATCCCGTGAGTATAACTTTCAAACTCGAGAAATTTTCTTTTTCCCCCTTATGATAACCCTTTTTTCTTTCAAATTTTTAGGTTTTTGAATCGAGACGTAGTATTATGAATGTAATCAGCGGAATTTCAAAAGATCTCACAGGACAAAAACTTACTCGTGCGGAGGAAACTTCGAATATTCAAACGCTTGAAGAAAAAATGTAATTCATAGAATTAACATGGTTTAAAGGAGCGATATTTTTTTTTTTTAAAAAAGTTTACATTTATTTACGGTGCATCATTGTATCTTGAACTTTCATTTATTTATTATTTAATTCAATGACATTTACAAACACGTAATCTTTTTTTCTTTTTTTTAAAAATATATATATATATACAGTATATATATATATAAAATAAATATATATATTGCTTGCTTTTTTTTTTGTTTATTTTTGGATGGATGATTTATCAAAATAAAGTTTTGGTGTGCTATTTTCAGGATTGACATTATTTTTTTTTAAAAAAAAAAAAGTTTTCTCGTGAGACAAAGAAATAAAAAATTTTTTGACGCCTGATATAAATATGCCTCGTAACGTTTCACGAGAATGTAGTTCAAATTACTGCGCTACTGGTACTCGGATTGTTTATGAAAGAAGAAATGTCAATGGTCTTATTTATTAGAAGAGGGAATTCTGAAATTTTTGTTAATTTTAGTTCTCAAGTGGACCAATTAATAAAAATTTAGATTTCTATTGACTGCCGCCCAATATGATTTTATGTGACAAATAAGGTTTTTCTCGGTATTTTTTTTTTTTTTTTGAGACCCACCAAAGCTTCCTTATCAATTTTAGTGGAATCGTATAAAAATAATTGTATTGGATATCTATAAAAAGAAGTAGAACATAAATAAGAGGATGACTATAAACGACACCTGAATTTGGTCGAAGGGATAGAGAAGGTAAGAGAGAAAAAAAAAATGAAACTTTACTGGAAAATTATAATTCTGAAAAAAGCTGAAAATTTTTTTTTTTTTGAAGAATGAAATATTACCTTGTAAAATAAAAACAAAGCAAATGTTTCATATTTTTTTTAGCAAAATGGGGTTCTGGAAAATTTATTTTTAATTCCAGCCGATTAGCAATTATGCAGAAAATTTTCAATGATCGCTATTTTTAATTACTTAAGGTTAAAAACTAATCTCAAACGCATTAGTTAATAAAGGGGGGACACGGCTTATTGGATCGGTTAGTGATATCTCATTTTGGAAGAAAAAAGAAATATGAAAATTAATAAAATTTCATAAAGTGCTAAAACTTAAAAAGTATCATAATAACCACACAATTTTCAAATCTAAAGCTAAACAAATTTCCTTTCTTGGAAACAATAAACGATTAGTTCTTCACCTTTTTCAATGGCATCATCAATTCACATGATGTTCATTCAGACTATTTCAATCTTTACTTGCGTTATTTGCAATAATTTCTTCATTAACGAGTTGTGATATTTACTTCTTGAGAATCTATTAAAGGGATATTCCGCATATTCCGCAGTACGACCTTACGATATACACAAACTGAATATAATGATAAAACCAAAAGAATTTAGCCTCAAGGTATTAAGTTTATAGTGACTTGATCATTGTTATTTTCAGAATTAATAATTATTATATTAATGGTCACAATGAAGGACAGGAAATCTTTACCTAACAATTACTCGAGAACAAATATGATTTATTAACGAGATAGCTTTATTAAAGTGAATATAAAGAGTCTTAAATGTGCATGAGATTTTTTTTTTGCATTTAGATTTTCTCCAACTTTAATAACAATGTTTAAAAAAAAAAAAAAAATCTAGTGAAAAGATCCAAATATCAGAATAATAAAAGTTAATATCATCACATAATGTGATCTAATTAAATATCATTTGTTCTGACAATTTTTGGTCTGTTAATGTCGTCACCAATTTATTATTTCTTTTCAAACAGCAGATTATGTATTTATTCCTGACCTTTACCTCAACATTTACAGCCACCACGACTTTATTACTTCAAACCTCTGATACAGTATAAAGTTCAAATTTTTTAAATCACATAATTGACCCCTGTAACAAATAATATATGACAAATAAAAACGTGATAACAATGCAGATCTTATTCATATAAAGATGTCATTTACTAATTTTGGATTGTTTTGTCGATCGTCGCGAGAATCTTTCTGCCATTTCTTGCGTACCAACTTTCGTTCGTACTTTCAAGTATGCGTTTTTTTAATATATTTGAACTGTTAGTACAATAAATACTTTGTTACTTTAGCCTCTCTAAATACTATTTACGCAATGGATGAACGTTGTTGCAGTTAAGTGTTTTCTTTATTTCTATACAATTGAAATAGACTTATTGCGATGATTAAACCGTGTGGCTGGGCCTTTAAGAGATAGTTGTGTCTAGTGCACTATTGCTTTTCACCTCTTCTATTGCTTTGGTTAAGAAACTAGATTTATCTTTTTTCCTCTGTCTCATCGCAGCAGCATGTTTAGAGCCATATCTCTATAGTGCCTTTATCACGTCCTCTGCACGTTAGTTAATATCCTCTGCACGCTTATTAGCACAGTCCTCTGCTAAAATCTATTAACAGTCTAGAGAGAACTATAGAAGAAAAGAACGCTGAAAGCTAATTACAGCAATTAATTTCTCAGGAAAGATTATTGACCCATAATACTTAGTAAAAATGAAACACGGACCGGTGAAAAAAACATATCACGTGAATTTTCGTGACAATTTTTTTATGGGTATGCAGTGGAAATCCCATGTTAATCAAAAAATTTTTTTCTAAAATTTTGCGAGAATTAAATCTCCTAGTTATAAAATAAAGATCAAGAAGTTTAATACAATAATAATTTGACCTTCGTCGATTATTTTAGTTTCGACTATTATAGTTCGTCGAAACCTAAGGGTAAATTAATTGTTTATATTTGTACCCGATGTAATACTTTTGAACGCCACTTTATTTAACTATTAGAAAGAAAGAAAAATAACAACATAAGGCGAAATGGTTTCAGGTCAAATTCTTGAATAAAGTTTTGGTAAATAATACGATCGGAGATAATATTTTTGTTATAATAAAATTTTTGATTGGGAATTAAAACGCAATGCTCTTTTTGTCGAACAATTCTTCTTTAATTTTCGTCTTTTAAGAATACATAAACTCCGGGTATTTTACAAATTGTACCCCATACACCGGGAGGGTATTATACACAGGGGTACTAAATTCAGTGCTATTCGCAAAGGGCCCATATGACAAATTATAAGATTTCCCGAAAAAAATTCTCAATTTCCAAGGTAAGTAAGCCTTGCTTTCGGGGGGTGGGTTTTTTGCGATATTAAAAATACTTTTCGATATTCGAAAATCAAACACAGAGTTGACATGCTTCACTATTTGATACCACCAACGTTACTCTTTATAGAACGAAAAAAACGGAGGATGTAATACCATATTACATCATGGAAATCCCAAATAAGGATGCGGCTTTTATGTAAATCAATATAAATCGCTTTATTGAATCTTTTTTTTTTTTGCCTCAAATCAAATTTTTTAAAAAAAAATGAGGTATATTTCTTTTTGAGAGTTTTATGTTGTAAGGAAAAAATCTTCGTTAATTTTACTTTCTTAATTATAGTATTCACAAAAATATCGAATGGACTATAATTAAAACCTATGAAGAGGATGATTTTGTTTGTGTCGATTTTCATGGCAAGTAAATTCAATTTTGTGCTCGTTATTTTTGTTCATGTATATATATATATTGATCATGGTATTATTTTTTTAATTCTTTGTAACTTTTAGAAGAGGAAAAAAGTGAGGGTAATATAAGGTTTGTTTTATCATTAAAACTATTAAAATTAGGGATCATTATTTTGGCATTTTAAAACAATTAATTATTCATTATTACAGAAAGAATTCATCTCTGGTTGATTCATTGTATGTCAAAATAATAATTTATTTATTTATTAAGTATTCAGTGGGATTGGATTAACGAATATTTGATTTATTTTCAACAGAACAAATAATTGTGATTCAAATAAAGATTACATTAATGATTTTGAAAGTTCTCGAGTTAAATCCAAACCATGCTCTGATAAAAAGAGAAATCAGATTTCTAGTTTAAAATGTACTTTTGAAGATGAATATTATCCAGAATGGAATAAATATATTTCAAAATTCCGAAATGCGATTTATTATGATGAAGTGGAAAAGCAACAAAATCAAATTAAAGAATTAAAAATAATACAAGGAAAGGTTGAAAGAGATCTTGAACACTATAAAAGAAATCCAAAAATATTTAAAGAAGCTCACGATAAATATATTGAGAATCAAAAACAAATAAAAAAACTTGATGAAATCATTAATAAATTACTTCAAGAGGTTTACAAACTCAATCAATTACGAGATGAAGGAAAATATCTCCTGGATAATAAAATATGTTTTGGATTATCTAATGTAGATTATGAAACTTTGCGAAAATTTCCCGCTGAATGTAAGTTACATGTTTTTCTTTACTTAATCAAAATACTCGAATTCATTAAATGTCATAATAAACTTTTATTCGCATGTTTAAGTTGTAGGCTTCCCAGCTTTTCTTGTAGAGTTTAATCATAGAAGAGATTCAAAATCAATTCCTAAAGGTGATTTGAGATATTTGGATTCATTACCGCAAGGTATTAAGGATAATATTATTAAGGTAATTTTATTCTTTACTTATTAGAAGTATTTTATTATTTTACTTTTATTATTATTTATTAACAAAATTTTATTTTTATTTTATATTTTTAATGTTTTAATGAGTCAACAAATAAATATAACATCAAATTTACTATTGATATGTTTAATGAAGATGAAAAACGTAGTTTATAAGAGAATTATTGAAATCGTTATTGGTATATGTTTGTTTTCCAACAAATTTTATATCTATTATTTATTGATTGTAATATTATTTTAACTTCAGATTCTCAAATATGATACCAACTTAGTATTTACATTTATTCATTATTATTGGTAAGATCTGATATATAATGATAAGGATTTTTGTATAATTACTTTTTAATTTTTTTAAGAGCAAATATTGAAACTTTGTCTTTAATATATGCATACAAAGAATTATTATATACAAAAAATTAAAACATATATATTAATTTAATATATTTATTTTATTAATCTTTTTTTATTAATTATTATTAAAAAAAAAATTCTTATATTCATACTTATAAGTTACTTTAAAATTAAATATAAAAATTACAATAGCTTTAAAATAAAAAATTTTAAATAAATAAAGTTCATTATTATTGTTATTAAATATTTATTTTATTTTACAAAAATAATTGTAATTTAATATATTTAACATTCTTTTTATTTTACTATTCATTAATACATTATAATTTATAATTTTTTAAATATAATTTTATTAATATATTATATATAATAAATTCAAATGTATTATATATAAAAGCAAAATTTATATTTAATTACTACTAATATTTTATTGTATTAAATTGTTTAATATTTTCTTTTAACATTCTAAAATTTTTATATTAATTATTATTTAACACTAATAAATATTTTTTAAAAAGTAAAATTATTTTTAGTAAAAATTGAAATTTTATATATAAATATTTATTTAAATTTATTATAAAAATTTTAATTTTTTATTTTTTAAAATAATATAATTTAAATAAAAAAAAAAAGAATTAATTATATAATATAAAAAGATTAAAAAAAAAAAAATAGTATATAAAATAAAAGATTTATTTATTATAATTAATCTTTTTAATTAATTAATTAATTAATTAAATTTTTTTTTATTTTTTTTATTAATAATTTAAGTTATATTTTCTAAGAAATAAAATTATTAATAAAAATAATTTAAAAATCTGTATATTTTTAAATATAATAAAAAGAGTATAGAATTATAAATCTTTTTACTTATTACTATAAATTCTTTTTAATTTATTTTTAAACTTAATTTAATTTATATATATATAATTTTTATTATAACAATTTTATTTTAAATTATTTAAAAACTAAAAATAATTAAAAAATTTATTATTTATCTTATAAAATTTATATAAAATTATTTTAATTATATGATTTTTTATTAATAATAAATAATATATAAATAAATATATAAATTTTTAAATAAATTTTTAAAATT